GCTCTCCCCGGCTTTTGACCGCACAGCCCTGCTTCTCCCACCGAACCACTTCCATCCGCCAGGCTCGCGTTAGGAAATGCCAAGTGGGATGTGGGGTCAGTGGGGCTGGAAACCAGCTTGGCCGGAGCGGGATGTGGTCTGGGAGCTCCTCCAGCTCCCCTCTCTCTTCTTATCTCCTGCTCTGGTTTGCTGCGTTCATTGGGGGCTCAGCAGACCTTGTCTCCTCAGAGAACGTTGCGTTCCCTTCCCGCTCTGCAGCCACACCCGGAGCCCACATCTGCTCCCTGCTTTTACTTATGTTTCCGTAAGAGTCTCCCCAGCACTTTCCTCCTCTACTGGGCTGGGTTTGTGTTTTCACTAAAGTATGAGACAAGCAAAATCAATTTGGATTATTTGGGGAGGAGAGCTTGTCTGGGCAGCTTGGCAAACTGTGCGATCTGCTTCCCTTCATTTTTTTTTTCTGTCTCTTTTTTTGGTGATAGTCACTGTTATTCAGTGTTGGCTCTGGCAAGGAGTTGGCAAAGCATTTGCAGGGAGAGAATTAGGATGCCGGCACCTGGTTGTCTGTCGGGAGGGTCTGGACAGGCTGTCTGGAATGGGATTTCAGCAGATGTTTTTTGTTCTGTGTTTTCTTTCTTTTTTTTCCTTTTTTTTTTTTTTAAAAAGCTGCGCAAACACCAACAAAACACAAATATAGAGAGACATCCGAAAGACTGCTATAGCACAGCAGACGCTTGTTTCCTCTTAGTCACCTCCGTCAGCTGAGGTTCTTGCTGGGCTTTGTATCTCCTAGTTTTCAGGCGGAAACTTTTAGTTGTCCTGATGATCTCCTAGCTATTTGTTCAGATTTGGAAGTTGCCTCAATGTTTATTTTAAAGAATGGGAGAACCAAGTCTTTTACTCTTCCAAGAGGTGAAATGGTTGTTGCGGTGCCAGCAGCATCGTGCTGCTGAGTCACCAGATCCGTTGCATCTACTCGTCACCCAATGACCAGTTTGAACGTTGACTTCTGCAGCCGTTGAAGCGCCCTTGCTCCCAGCTGAGCTTTCTGTCTTGATGATAAAAGGAGGGGAGAGTTCACAACCTGCTGCACTTGGGTGATCAAAACTGCATTTCCTGCAGAGATCCCTTGAGATCAAAACTCAACTGAGCCATCCAGGCCTGTAAAATATGCAAATCTTGACCTGTTTTGGGTTGAAAACTCGCTGCCAACAGTAAGACTGATAAAAGTTGGAGAGGGAAGAGCTGGTTCCTGAGCGTTGGCGTATTTTGGTGATAATAAGCAGGCATTTTCTTGGAGAGATCGCTGAGGATACGTTGTTCTTCTTGAAGCGGCAATTATGCAGCTCCTGGAGTCCTGTGCGGGTGTCTGTGGAGCTGGCAGGTGTCCAGCAGACAGCCTGCGCTTTACGGGATGCCTTAATGCCTTCCCGCCGCCCCCGGCCCTCGGGAGCCTCCTCGCCACGGCCGCCTGCCTGCGCGGGCTCTCGGCCAGCGCCCGGCGGGTGCGTGCTCGCCGCTTCTCCTTTCACTGTCCGCCACGGCGCGGTTTTAGCCACTGGGGCAAAACCAGTTCAGGCAGCTCCGCATAACTGCCACCACTGGCCTCTCCTTTTCAGGAAATTTCCACTTTATCTTTCCCTCTTCGTGCGCCTCGGTGCAAGGCACTGTTGTCCCTCTTTGCCTTCATGGCCAGGTGGTTGCTGAATGGCAGCTCCCAAGCTGCTCTTTGGATCCATGGGTGCCACGTGCGCCGTAGTGGGTCCCTTTGGTAGCGCCAGAAGGTGCAGCTGGTCCCTCCTGCCGTGGCGGGTGACGGGAGGATGTCACCGGTCGCGAGTCCCGCTGGGTTTCGCAAACTGGAAGTTGCTCCTGGGTCAGCCGGCTCCATTGTGCCTCGGCTTCCCCTCCATCTGGTTTCCTCCCTCTTGCCGCCGGCTAAATATAGCGGGAGGCTTTGTGCGAGTGCCCCGCGGGCGGGAAGCGCCGTGCTGGTGCGAGCGGGGTCCTGGCGCGCAGGCCGCTTGCGCCGTGTCTCTGCGCTGTGTTTGGCCAAGCTCGCCGCCACCTTCATGCTGTGCTACGGTGTCAGAGTGCCTGTGGCTTGTGTTTCCAAATGAGAGGAGTTGAACGAGTAAAAGTTAGACCGTCCCCAAGCTTGACCTACCCCTATAGAGTTTTGGAACTAGTTGAAATTATTGTGTCCTTTTTTTTTTTTTTCTTTTCTTTTTGAGGGTTTGCACTGGTTTAACCTCCCTCTTGGCCAAGTCAGCAGGGCAGTCAGTGTGGTGTGCTCTTTAGACTTTGCTCTGAAAAGTTACAAAATTAAGAGAAATCTTTTTTAAAAAATCAACATGGTACCTATGTAAAGGCAGGTTTAATCTTGGGCTTCGTTTGTACTTCAGTTTTTATTTGTAAGGGGGAGTTGACTGACCGATAACTTAAAAAAAAAATTTGACTTGTAGCTAAATAAAAGCTTTAGTTTCAGTGCCTCTTAGGAAGATTCCCTGAATTGCTGTTAAGTTCCAGATGCTTAATATATATTTATTCAGATTCTGTTTGTTGTTTCAGATTCAGATTCTCATTGTCCTGAGACAGACATTGTCCTCACATTGTCCTGTTGCCTTTTTTTTTTTTTTTTGGCTTTTTTTTGTTGCTGTTGTTGCATGTGAAGTTGCTATTGAAGGGGAGGCAGACCTCACTTAAAAAACCCCTGTACTTTAGAACATGAATTTACATATATGCTATGTGAAACATTAAAAAAGGAAAGCTCTATTTTCAGAAAAGGAAACAAACTTAACTGAGCCACTGGTGTTTAGCCATTAAGGTTGGTAGGGGACTAGAGCTAGCAGATCTGAAGCCTTGTGCTAAGGGTTGTCGGTTTTTTGGTTTTGCTTTTTTTTTTTCCCTCTCCTAAGTAGCCTTTCATTCCTTTGCTTTTTTTCTGCCTTCCCCAAATGCCCAGTTTCCAAGCTTTGAACTAGTTATGGAGTAAGTTGACTGAGCAGTATTAATAAGTTGGGGGAAAAATACCTTCCTTTTTGTAGAAGCTATAAAAAAGAGACTAATCTAAGTTATATTTAATATGATGCTGAAGCAGTGCTTTTCCCTTAGTCTTGTCACTTGCCTGTCTTTAAAACATGCTCAAGAAATACAAATACTTAATATAAGGAAACCATTAGCCTTATTGTTAATTTGAATAAATATATTAACCGACTGCTTTTATCACCTCTGCTCAAGGATTTAAAATAGAATCCGATGGGAACTGGGTAGCACCCGCACTCAGGACATGCTAAAGCCTTTGTCTTCCTCACCTTTGTCTTCCTCGCTACACCCTTTTCCTATTATTGATCCAGCTCGGGGGATATCCGGTGGCTTGGGGAGGAGGATGGGCTTTGGGTGGTGGTTGTTTTAAGTTTCAGTAGGTTCCTTAAGAGCTCAGCACAAGTCTTGGACTCCTGGTTTCCATCACGTTGAGGCCCACGTGGTGCATGCTGTGCAGACAGTGTGGGTGCTGTGCCCCAGCAGCAGAATGACTGGGCAGGGGGCGCTTCTGCAGAGGGAGCACCGGTGGACAAATCCACCAAAAAATGGGTGGATTCCTCCGAGGTGATAATAGTCATTTTAGAGGGAGGGATAATAGGGCTGCCCTGAAATACAGCCTGAACTGAAGCAACGATTGATCATTTCCATCAACAACACTTACATGTTGTGCAAGAACTTCAGTGTCAGTGGAGGAGAGGGGAGGAGCAAGAAATAGAGCAAGATGATGTGGTTTTCTCTGCTGCTGGAAGCCCACGCTAGGTCTGCAGCCCCCTCTGCTTCTGTGTCTCCTGGGCCTCAATTCTGCACACCTGTAACGAGCTGTTGCAGGGAGCCAACACGTCTGGCTGGGCGCCTGGTTCTGCAGTAACGTGTTCGCCTCTCGCTTCCCCTTGCAGGGATCTACATCCTGATCGCCGTTGGTGCCGTCATGATGTTCGTGGGGTTCCTGGGATGCTACGGCGCGATTCAGGAGTCTCAGTGCCTTCTGGGAACGGTAAGAGGCGCGAGCTGGCCTGGTACCGAGCCACCCGACTGGTGCTTGTGTGGTACGCGCACCCCCGTGGTGCTAAACTCAGAAGCAGGAAAGGTTCCTTGCAATATTGTGGTGAGGGTCGAGATAAACCCTGGAAAATCGATTCCCGAAGGGCTGCAGGCACCGCAAGGAGAGGCAGCAGCTTGGGATTCCCGGCATGGGACCGTCTTAGCAATTGTACAAACTGCAGCCACAGCAAAAGCCTTCGCCAGAGGGGAAGGGAGACCCATTGGTTTAAAGCAAGTTCCCACATGTGGTCCAGCTTTAAGCAAGTTTCCAGCCTCCTCTGGCTTCCCACAGCCCCTTGGCAGCAGCAGGCAGGGCAGCCGGCCTCGCGGGAGGGAGAAGGGACTCTTGGTGTGGGCTTTGTGCGAGGTGCCCTGTGGGCACTTGCATCCTGGCGCCCTTGGAGCGGGCCCATGTTAGTGGGTTATGTATTTTTTTGTTTAATTCTCCTCTGCCCCCTCCCATCATGGAGCTGTCTGCAGAGCTTTCGTGCTTGGGAAGGCCAGAAGTTGCAAAAGCCTCTGAAAAACCCTCCAAACAATAAAAATAAGAAAGGAAGAGGGTAAATTAAAAAAACGTGGGACAGTGCTTGGCTTTTTTGAGTTGAAAATTTGTTTTGTGGTGGAGAGCAAGCTGTGGGTGCCGACCAGACTGGGAGAAATGGAGCTTCCCTCCTGACTCCTGTGCTCGCCGTGAGCAGGTTGCTTCACCTCTAGGTGCTTCTGATCAGCGTTCACAGGGGGTTGGTGCAAAGGGGGAAGCTCCAGGACCCTCAGAGCAGCCACATTGTCTGCAGAAGCACAGCCGTGTCCCTGCCTTGTAAAAGCTGCATCTTGGCTGTGCGGCAACCCGGGAGCAGAGCTAAATCCCCACGAAATTACGTCCCCGAGACTGCAGTAAATAAGGCCCCCTTTGCTGGAGGGTGCCCACTGCAAGAGTGGGCCCTAGTGCTTAGACAGGGAATGACACAGACGTGCACCCACTGCGTGGGGACCTGCTTCCTCAGAGGGAGGTGGGACCCAGTTCCCCAGAGGTGCTCCCCGTGTAAGCAGGAGTTAGGAGTTAAAGTCCTTTCTTGCAGGAGGTCAGTAGTCCCATTTCCATTTTTTTTTAATGTAATATCCCCTGTTCTTGCACACAAGAACGTGTTCTGTCATGTTCCCGCCTCTTTTTTTGTCTCTACTTTTATGGCAACTCTGACCAACCTGGGGGTTCCCAGAAAGAAGTTGAGGGCAGTGTTGTCACGGCGGTAACATGGGCTACGTGGAGCTCACCCATCCATGCTTTCCTCCTTGACTCTGATGTATGAGCTTTAAAGCTTGCCCTTTCCAGTCAAACAGAATCATAAAATGTTCCCGGGGTGTGAGCAGAAAGCTGGAGGAAGGCTTTGGGATGGCACAGAGGAGGAGAAGTTTTATGATTGCAGCAACAGGGTGGGGCTGTGGGAAAACATCAGAATTAGTGTTTATGCAAAAAACTGCAGCAATCTTGCAGGGCTGTGAAGGCCGAGAGTGCCGGCCATAAATCATGCCCAGGCGCCCCGCTGCTCCTCAGCATCTGGAATGTGCTTTTAACCCTGCGCTGGCAGCTCCCATCCCCAGAGCATCTGAAGGGGAGCGGGAAGCTTGCTGCATGTTCTGCAGCCACACGAAGAGGAGCCATTTGTCTGTTGGTGCAGGCTGTCCTCATACCTGCTCCCCTTCCTCCCTGTGTTGGAAAATACTCTACAAAGGCCTGCTTAAAACACAGCAGCAGGATTTGGACATGGGACATGGACATTATTTGGGCAAAATGTGTCTGCATGAGAGAAGATGGTTTGAAATCAGGCAACACTTTACTTTGATCCTTTATGAAGTGATATATATACTCCAGCATACCCACCTTATTGCTTCTTTTGCATATAGCCAAAAATATAAAATGTCCTTCTCCTGATTTGTCTTCACAGTTCTTTACTTGCCTAGTGATCCTGTTCGCCTGTGAAGTTGCAGCTGGAATTTGGGGTTTTGTCAACAAAGACCAGGTACAATGACTCTGAAACCTGAGTTTGTGGCCCTGGGAGGCTGGATGCAGCCATAGTGGATCACTGAAGAAGCTGTAGTTAAGCTCTTGGACTGAGACATGGGATTCTGGACGAGCTGTGTGACCTGAGCAGGTTGCTTAGCTCATCTTGGCCTGTCAAGTGAACCCTAAATGTGAACGTGCGATGACAGAGACTGCCTCTTATGGTCTGTAGTGCCATGCCTGGAATAAGGATCACGGGGTCTCACTGGGGGATCTGCTAGCTTTACCACATTGTCAGGCACAGCAGGAGTTGCTACTTGTATGAGGCTGTGAAGTAAAGCCATCCGCCTGTCCTAGGTGCCAAGGGGAGGAGAGAAGGGGATTTCTAGTGCTTGGAGGATCTCTGGCAGTAGGAAATGTTGGCTTTAGTAAGGAATGTGAGTCAGCTATGTCAGCAGGCACTGGCCTGCTCTGCTTTTCAGTATGCCTAGGCCCCAGCTGACCAGCTCGGTTGGGAAGGGCAGCCCCCTCGCGTGACTGCAGCAGACGGAGCTGCTCGGCGGCTCCCGCGTGGGCCGGGGGCTCCTTCCCAGCTGCTCTGGGGAGCTGCTCAACCTGTCTGGAGGGGAGCGCCTCACACGGGTGCTAACTGGGGAATCAGAGACCAAGACCCCCAGTGAGGAGGGGTTACAGTGTGCTTGAGGCTGGGAAGAAGGCGCTTGGGTGACAGCAGAGGACACCCTCCTCCCCTGCCAGGTGGGGCCTGACCCTGGTGGATGAGTGGTGGATGAGGGGAAATGACACCTGCCCTCACAGCTGCAGTGATACCCCTTGGGGAGGGTAGTCGTATCCCAGTGAAGGCTGCTTCATGAAATTGGGGCAGTCTTGCTCTGTCTCCAGTTTCCTGAGGTAGTTTAGATGCAGGGAGGGAAGCAAAAAGTAGGATTCATTTGTCCCTGTACCAGAATCAAATGATTTGAGCGGAGAGTACTGCTGTCCAAAACAAAACTCTGGAGCAAGAATGGAGGAAGCGTGGGATAATTGATTGAAATTGCTCTGCTTTTTTTACTGCAGTTTCTTTTTCATTTGCTAATCTAGCATGCACTGCCAAGAGCAAAGGTTCTGGAAAGCACTTTCCCTTTTGTACTTAGTTATATTTATTTCATCTGCTTCTCTTGCATTCCCTCCTTTCCCTTGTCTCTCAAATTATTGGGAGCTGTTAGAGAAGTCACAAGTTCAGCTGTTCTGAACTTGATTTTTTTTTTCTTTTGCTCTGTGGAGCAGAGGCATGATCCCCCGTGAGAGGCTGCAGCTCATGCGGGGCAGGTGGCAAAGTTAGAGCATGGCCGAGATTACTCATGAAGCCATTTACAGGGCAAGGATCCATCTAGGGTCCCAGCAGGAGTTTGAAATCTGCCTGGAGCACCTGAACTTCCTGACCTGCCCTCCGTCCAAGACGGGCTGCAAACTGAGGTGCCCGTATCTACAAACTTCCTCACTTACCCATCCAGGTTCCTCCTGGCTTCCATGCCGTGTCCTTCCTCTGCATCCCCGTAGGAAGCCACATGCCCTCCTGCTTCATTTCCAGATATACTGTAGGTCAGAACAAGCTGTTTCTGGGAGCGGTAACAAATCTGTGAAGTCTGAGGACTCTCTCGGATCTTGTGGTTCATCATCCATGGCTTGGCTGGCTTTGCCTCTATAGAGAGCCCAAAGCATTTGAATAATGTTGGCTGAAACCTGCTAGCTGGTGAATGGGTTTCTTAAAATATTATGGAGAGGAACTATTAAGAATTTAATCCTTATGGAAGAAAGGTCTTTTTTACTCATCTGTGTAAATAATCGGGGTCCAAATCCGTTAAAAACTGCTTATCAACCTGTGAGAGATGTTAGAGAGAGCCTGTCTTCAGGCACATAGAATCATAGAATGGTTAAGGTTGGAAGGGACCTCTAGAGGTCATCTAGTCCAACCCCCCTGCACACGCAGGGTCACCTAGAGCACGTGGCACAGGACTGCGTCCAAGCGGGTTTGGAAGATCTCCAGAGAAGGACATTCCACAACCTCTCTGGGCAGCCTGTTCCAGGGCTCTGTCACCCTCACTGTTCCTCACTGTTAAGAATTTTTTCCTTAAGTTTGCTTCAGTTTGTGGCCATTACCTCTAGTTCTGTTGGAGGCCACCAGTGAAAAGAGGCCAGCACCATCCTCCTCACTGCCTCCCTTGAGGTACTTGTTGACACTGATTAGATCCCCTCTCAGCCTTCTCTTCTCCAGGCTGAACAGGCCCAGCTCCCTCAGCCTCTCTTCATAGGGCCTCTGATCATTCCAGGCCTCTGATCATCTGCGGGCTGGGTTTGCTTGTTGTCCTCTGGTTAAAAGGGACTTTTTTTTCCTGCCTTCCCTAGATAGCCAAAGACGTGAAGCAGTTCTACGACCAAGCGTTTCAACAAGCGCTCACGGCAGAGCCGGACGGCAACAACGGGAAGGCCGTGGTGAAGACGTTCCATGAAACGGTGAGATGCTGGAAGCCTTCCGGCGCGCTCTGCGAGGGCCACATGCAGCTGGACAAGGGGACCGCTGAGGAGCGGCATCCCGCATGCTGCAAAATTACAGTCACAAACGGACATGCAAAATCGCTTTCTGCGTGTCAGCTTGCAAGGGGTGAAGAGCAACCTCCCCGCAGAGCAGGAGGGAGCAAGCTGGAGCTGCAAGGTCCTGGGCCAGGAGTGAAGACAGCTCTGAAACTTTTGATGCTTAGGATTGAGCTGGGACAAAAAAGTGTTAACAGCAAAGGGCTTCCTGCTGCCTGTTCTCCCAGCTTTATGTAGAAATCTCTACTTTAGAGGAATTTTGTGTAGCAGTGGGACACAAGAGTGTGGGAGAAAGGAGAAGAAATGGGGGTCAGGAAAATGAGCAAGAAAACTCTGAGTTAAAGCACATGACGACGATATGTTTGAGTTAACCTGTGGAGTTTGCTGTTCTTAGATGACAAGTAACAGAGCTTCATCACCTTAAATTATTGTCCTTTGTGCTGTGCTACGGAGCCTGGCCTGAGCTTTAATTAAGTTGCTTTTCATTTGCCCCGGTACCCCTGATTAAGTAAAACTCAACGGAAGAAAAAGGCTGCTTTGAGGAACTAATTCCAAGAGAACAGGAAGCAAATCTCTGGAGAGGGCAAGGCCGGACATATGTATTTGCAGTTACTGCAAGAGGCAGCCACACTGCATACAAATAAAAAAATGCATTCAGAGAGTTAATTCCTTCCTCCCTCCTTTCTTTTCTTCTCCTCAAGTTGACTCCTAGTCGCGGGTGGAGGGAGCGCTGCGGAGGGCGCTTGCAGGGCTGCTAATGCTGCTTTTCCTCTCCCTATGTAGCTGGACTGCTGCGGTCCTGATTCTGCAATGGGAGTTATCACTCCCTTATGGAAGGAAGAACTCTGCCCGAAGGACTTCTTGCTGAAAGCCTTTCAGGTAGGCACAGCCGGGTTTTGCTCGGCGCAGCTCTGGGGAGGAAACTTGCCTGCACGGGAATCAGTCCGCTCACTTTGCTGAGGAGAAGGGGGAAAATGAGAGATTTTGAAACCTGTCCTCCTGCTTCTTCCACCTTGGCACATCCCTGGGCACATCCCAGGTTTTTTGGTTTTGTTTTTCTTGGGATCTTTGGCTTTTACTCCTAGTTGGTTTGGGAACAATTCCTGAGATGAGGATTAGCAGTTAAATCAAATTTAGTAAGCATGGTGGTGATGGGTTTACAGTCAGACTTGATGATCTTAAAGCTCTTTTCCAACTAAAATGATTCTATGATTTTACGAACTCTGCTTTTGCGTGGCACCACCTGACAGAGGGATGGTTGTGGGAAGAGCAAAGGAGCAGACATCTACGGAGGGTTAGGGAAAAACAGGCTTCCTAACATTGATTGTTCTATGCTTCAGTTGCACGCAAACTGTCACCAAAAAATTGACGAGCTGTTCTCCGGGAAGCTGTACCTGATTGGTATTGCTGCCATCGTGGTCGCCGTGATCATGGTAAGTGTGAGCGTGTGGGACAAGGGTGTTAGGGAGAAATGAGGCCAAGGAAATGGTGCAGGACCACGGGGTGTCCTCATCTGTAGTGGGGAGGAGGAGGTGGGATTCCCTCGCGTGACAGACCAAAGGCTCACGGGTGGCCTTGTGTCTCCTTGCAGATCTTCGAAATGATCCTGAGCATGGTGTTGTGCTGCGGCATCAGGAACAGCTCCGTGTACTGAGGTGTGAGAGCCGAGGAGGGGAGGGGACGGGACGGGGGAGCAGGGCGGACGGCGCTAGAGGGGACCCCAAGTGCCACCAAGTGACCAGGAGACATTTCAACAAAAGACAAAGAAAACTGTACATAAATACTTCCAATATTGCCATGCAGTACTTACCATTTTTATTTTGAAGTACTTTTTTTTTTAATAAATAAAACTTTCCCGTATCCTTGTGGCTGAGTTAGTTACACATCAGTTTTGTGTGATAGGGAAAGCTGCTTTAGCAGGAGTTTTAGTCCTCCCTACCCTTTCTCCATCAGCAAAAATCAGAGATGATATTTGTGGAGGATGTACAGAGCAGAAGGCTGCAACCTGTTATCAGAAATCTTTCCCTTGATTTTTGTTCTCTTTTTCAATACTGACTTTTGTATGTATATATATATATATATACACACACACACACATATAATTTGAAGCAAGATTTAGCATTTTTTTTTGTTCAGTTGTTCTCATCTTTTTCCTCCCATCACCCCAGCTCCCTGGTGCTTCAAGCTCTAGGTAGGCAAGTCTGGCTGTAACTGCCTGAAGCCTGGTAGGAAGGAGGGGGAACAGCCCCAGGTGAGATGTACCCAGCGGGTACAGGGAGGGACTGTTCCTGGCAAACCTTTTGGCATTGCTAGATCAACAGAACATCTAATTTTTCAGCCTCAGAAGAGTGGGGATGTTCTTGGGTTTATGTTTTCTTCTGGGGCCGGTAGCTTTATAAATTGACTCGTTTACATGACTCATTACATTAAAGGGTCGGTGTCTGGGGTGGATTTAATCTTGGAAAACTAAGTAACTTTTTTTTTTTTAAAGAAAAAAAAACTTCCTTGAATGTTTCTTGATAGACATACTATGTTTTTGGGAGAGTCTAGTACTGTACTAAGTTTTCAGCGTTATGCTAATACTTATATACAAATGATATTGGGGAAAAAAAATCTTTAAAAAAGTCCTTAAGCTTAAAAATAATACATTTATATTATACAGGATGACTTTTGGGGATTCCCTGCCATATACATACACATTTAAAATGTAATCTTGACATCACTTTCTTGCTCAGTGCAATTGCCCTTGCTTGTAGCATTTTGTCCCACACACTAGCATATTCCAGGAAACGTTCATGGTGTTGGAAAAAAAAATGTTTAAGACCTTCCATTCTCACTGATATTAAAAGAAGGAAATCAGCTTATCAAAGCAAGGGAATATGGGATTTTTCGATCCAGGGCACTGGAACACTTTCTTGTGACCCTGCTATGCTTTGACTGCCAGTGGGATGTATGTGGCTTCTAGCGTGCGCCACCCTGGCGAGGTAGGGGCACAGCTGTCACTATGTACATAGAGGGGTAGAGTGACCCAGGTCTTCTGTAACAGAATCAGAGTGTCTCTAAAAAGATGATCTATATGTATAGTTCTATAGATATATATTTTTAAGCAAAGCCTTTTCCTTTCTTTATGGGCACTAGCGCTGGGAATGGTAGCCTCTTCCAGCTCCTGGCCACAGTGAAGCAGATGAGGGGAGTTAAAACCTGTGATCACCTTCCTCACTTCAGGAATATTTCTGTTTCTTAAAGTGTTTTGCTCTCCCCCTCACCTTAAAGTTAGTACTCAGGACACCAAATCGGGTAGGGAGAAAGACCTATATTCCTCGTGAGTGAGCACGTTGTCCGTGGCACGTGGGTACCACAGCCTTTGCCAAAACAGGAGAGGAAATTCCTGCACTGGGGCAAACGGATCCCTTCAGAAGCTTTTTTCCCCTTCTACTTGTCCCTTTCCTGCTCTTGTCTTTTAGTATATAGGGCCTTTAAGAAGTATATAAGCGCATATACATATATATATATATATATATATCAAGTTGTGCTAAGTAAGGGGAGGGAGTGCTTCAAGAGACCTTCAGTTCCAGGGGGTTGGACAAGAAATGATTCAGCCTTAGAAACAGCCTTAAAGCAACACTGCCCTGAATGTCCACTTGGTGCACGTTGAGAACGCGACGCAGTTTCACGGGAGGTAACCTCTCCCCCTGCTCCCCAGAGCACGTCCTTCAGGCCATCTACTCTGTTATGTGGCTATAGGTATATGCATCACCCAAGCATGTGTGTTTACATATACGTGCATCAGGATTGCTAGCATACAGAATGGATGTGTAACTTACCGCCTTTTTTTGTTGACTGTTGATAAATGTGTATAAATATGCCATTAAGCATTTCAATTCTGTTTTTCTTCCTTATACTGTATTTTTGATATTGTTCAGTATTCAGTTGATGCTGTGTAAGTAGCTGAGGCTCTGTTTGAAGAGGGACGGGGTCTCCCTGCAAAGGACTCAATGAGGGTCAGGCACGTCTGGGCATTGCAGCTTCGAGGGCCTGGGTTGTCCTGCGCAGGAGTGATGGAGAGAAAGTGCTTCTTGGAGAGGTCTGAGGGCCTGGGAAGGGAGGAGAACAGGATGTTTGCTCAGCCCATGTCCCGCCTGGGTGGGTTTTGCTCCCTGGCCCCTATCGTGGGTGACTAATGACGCTTGCGGTGAGCGCTAGGTACATGCTGTGGGCACTTGGGCACAGGGAGAGGACCTGCCCAGGGGGGCGGGAGGTTGTTTTGCAGCAGGAGTAACACTGTCTTGGGGGTGGTTAGCTGAGAGTCCCTGTGTCTGACTGTGCAGTTGTCAGTTGGAACAGGGATGGGTCGGGAAGGAGAGAGGAAGAGACTGTGTTGTGCAAGAGTGATGACGTAGCTGAGGAGCCAGCATGAAAACACATCTCACATTGGTCTTCTCTAGCCTGTGGCAATAGATCTGAGCTAAAACAGGCAGAGGCTGCCTTGCCCTTTAGCAAGTTCTCAAGCTGCGGAAGTGCCAGAGCTCTGCAGCCCGTCAGGCCCAACGCTCGCTGAGGTGAAGGGGAGAAGCCACAGGGCGGTTTGGGCTCCTTGTCCCTCCCTGGTGCTGTACTGCACAACTGTGCCTGTGTGTGCACAGCCGGGCCCCGTCCTGCCCTCCCTCTCCAGGGACACAATTCCCGGGTCAGGAGACCCCTGCACACACGATTGCAAACCCGAGGGGGTTGGGGAGAGTGAGCTGGCCAGGTCTGAGTTCAAAGACCGCAGCGCGAGGTCAAACAGAGCCGCTGACAGCTTAACTGAATGCTCGGGCTTCTTCCCGCCTGCGGAGCATGCCACAGAGCAGTGTGTTTAACTTCCTTCTGCCTTTATTTTTTTTAAAAGAAACCAGACAAAAAGTCCATTTAATAAACGTTTCTCATAGTGTGTACAGTGTGATGAGCCGCTGCACTCCTCCACACAGTTAACTTCAAGGCCGGGGGGAGGCGGGCAGGCTGGAGGGCGGCTGCTGTGGCGCCAAGGGGAGGCGAGCTTGCTGCTGCCGCAGGAGAGCCCTCCGTGAGGGAAGGGGGGCACGGCTGTGGGGTGCCAACGTGCGCTGCACAATCTGGCAACGGTGCTGGCATTTTGGGGTGGAGGGAGGGGGCGCTGTGGTGGCAGCACTGTGTGCGCAAGGGGCTTCTCTTCAAGCGCCAGAGAACAGCCCCCACCATCCTCTGGTGCCACTGCTGTGGCCGCCGCCTTTCTCGGCCCTGTCTTGGGCACCTGGCTGCGCTCGTGGCCGGGGTGTCCAGAGGTGGCCCCAAGGCGAGGGAGGGCGCGTGGGGTGAGGGAGAGCCACGTTCGGCTCCCCGGGGGAAGCCAGGCGCTCCCAGCGGCTGAGCCCGTGCCAAGAGGCTGTGCCCAGCTGCTGTTCGCTCACTTGTTCACCTGCATGTTAACGGAGTCGGCCATAATGACTTCTGGAAATAAAGTGGTATTTAAAAATAATAAAAAGAAACAAAACCAAGCCCCTTGGTGGTGGATTTTTAATGATGTGTTGTCAGAGCTTGTTTCTTTCCAATGCGGATGGGTTTCTGCCACATTTTCCAGAAGAACAGCACCAGCACAACGTCGGCTTTAGGTGGTGCAGTCCTTGGATGACTCTTGAGGCGGTTTCCCGTGGATAGGATGTTCTTTGCCTCCTGCCTCAAAGCATCTGGGTCGTGGTGCTGTTTTGTTGGCCCAGATGGAGACACGGTTATTCCTGCCTCTTCAAAGCAAGCATGAACACAACATGAGTCGCTGTCAAACGCAGGCTGTTGTTCATCAAGGAGACGAGTGAAAGTGGAAGCAAAGTGGCAATGTGCGGCGCCCGGCGTCAGTGTGCAGGGCAAGAGCAGGGCCTTGGGACATGGACTTCCAAGTGTAGCTGGGTTCCTGCCCCCCCAGCTCGGCTAAACGCAGTCCCCTCTGTCAGCACCGCAGGTCCCAGCATCAGCTCTGACGTGTTCAAAGGCAGTGCTCGACGTGAGATGGCGGCAGAGGAATTGCTGAACCAGGCCCCTCTGCGGTGCTGCTGAGTGAAGACACCAGTTGTTCCTGGAAAAGAGCAGCCCCGATGTGCAGGAGCATGTGAGGCCGCATGGATAAAGCCCTGGGAAGCGAGAGAAGGGAAAGGAGGGGTGGGTGGAAAACTTGCAGCCCGTTTGTTCTCATATTACACTAACAGTCCCTTGCGCTTTTCTTCTTTTTAACTTTCTTCTTTGGAGGCCTACAAAGCTTTGTAAGGGAGGAGCAGTCACTAAAGACTTTACTGTAGGCTTCTGACTCCTACAAATATTTTTGTGCCTTTTTTCACGTCAAAGAGTAATTTTTACAGAAAACTTAAGTATGATTTTTTTCCCCAAACTATAGCAAATTAGACTTTTTTCCAGTTGAATTTTCTCACTTCCTCTTAAAAAAAAAAAAAAAAAAAAAAAGTCTGAACTGTTTCTCCTTTTAAGTGGAAGTCTGTGGGTTTTGTTTGCTTTGGCCAGCCCTACCTCATAAGCTGACTCAAGTCTGCTTTAAAAGTAGCAGGTTGTCTAATTGTTTCCTCCTAAGACAGTTGGGATCAGCGGGGAAGGTATAAATGGCTGTGTCCCTTCCTTTAGAGGTTGTGTAAGCTCTGACCAGCTCCTGCAACATCCCCACAGAGGGAAAATTGAGCCAGCCCTCCCAACGGGGAGCCGCTCGAGGCGGGCGTTACTTTGGAGTAGGGTCCCCCTTCCCTCCCTGTCAGCTCCAGGGTGGGTGACAAAGAGCCCGTTATGCAGCGGCTGTGTCCAAATTCCCAGGTATTCAGAGGAAACTTCTGAAGTGGAAAGAAAAAAAAAAATCTTTGGTTTAGCTTCAGTGTTTGACAAAGGCAACTTGGAGAGCCCAGAGTCACTTGCATAACTACATGTGCATTAGCGGTAAAGATCCAGGTTGGAAACCAAAAATGTCCAAGCACAAACCTGCACAGTTGAGCAAAAGGTGTGTTGTTAATCCAGTGCATTTTCCCCTGATCCCTCTGCCGCTTTCAACCCAGGCAGCCTCAGATTACCTGGCAGAGGGCACCTTTGCAGTGGGAAGCTGGAGATTGACCGGTGGAAGCTGGATTGACCGGTGTTTCCCCACTTGGTTTTAGACAACCCAGCTCAAAGGCCAGTGTTTGCAAGTAACACTTCTAATTAAAGGCTAACTACTTTTATTTTATTTTTTATAAAATGTTTCTTGGCCCCATGTGCGTAGGGCATTAACATGTTAGAGCACAGCTCATGCATCCTGTTATGCTTGGGGAGTCCCTCCAGCAGGGTGGAGTGGTGTTAAATGCAAAGCTCTGCATTTGCTACAAAGTAACGTCAGTCAGCAAAGCATGTACAGGTCATGTTTGAACAGGAGGTTTGGGGAGTTTTAGAGGTTTGTGTTTGATTTTTTTAAAAAAAATCTATCCTAAAGGCACTCAACCGGTTCAAACAACCTCTTTCTGCCCTTCTCAAATGCTGTTAATATTAAACATACTGGGGCCAAAGCTAGGAAAGAAAGAGGCAAGAACTAGAAGGCTTTTTAGTAAATATATCCTGTAGCTAAATCAAAATGAACAGAGCTCCCCAACTATTCTGTTTGATTTTAAAAAATCAAAGAATCAAAGAATTGCACGGCACAATAATGTGGTCCTACGCGCCTCCAGCTCGTGGCCGCTGGCTTCCTGCGGGCACCATCTCACAGAGGAGCCCAGGCGGTGGCGGGACGCAACGCAACGCTCTGGTCGGGTGATTTCCCGCCCCGCAGCTCAGAGCTGCGGTCCGAGCACCGCTCCTCTTCGGGCCGCCTTATTTCGTACTGGCTGGAGGAAAACGCTTTTCCATCTGTTCATCCTCAGGGTCTGACTCATTATTTTTATTTCAGCTGTCGCCAAGCAATAGCAAAAAAAAAAAAAAAAAAAAAAGAAAGAAAGAAAAAAACCATCACGCCAGTATATCCCCCCGCCAAACAGCGCTGTCCTGGCTTGCCAGAAAAGGCAGCTCTCCCCAGCTCTCTGCAGTGAGCGGTGCTCAACTTCTGCAAAAGGCTGGAAGGAGAAAACGGTGCCCACCACTTGCTGACCTTGGCCATCAGCAGAGCCTCCCCATACCTGCTGCTGCCCATCTGCTAAAGACCCTTCGCCTCTCTTCCTCCCTCTCTCCAGCCAAGAAAACATTTTAATGGCTGTGACCACCCTATCTAGCTAGCTATATATCCATGTGTATATATATCCACCTCCAGAACTGAGGATGTAGAACTGCAGCATAGCTCCAGCCAGATGAAAGGCAGTTTGTGCTAACCTGGCTACGGCTGCCAGACGTATTCCGAACACGGTGCTTGTCCCATCAATTACTCATTCCGCAAGTTACTGCAGCGAGCAACGCTCCAGAAGGCAAAAATGTGTGTACATACACACATATATTTAAAAGCTGACAATGAAAATGGCTTCAGTTTATTTTACTTAAGACTCTCAGTGAGGCCACTTCTAAGATGCATCCTGTGGGACGTAAATTTACCCTTGGGCAGAGAAACGGGGGGTGAACAAGGTTTGGGGTGCGGTGGAGAGAAGGGTGGTGAAACCCAACAGAGCTCAGCCCCCTTCACGGGCACTCATTTAGTAACATTAACATGAGAGCCCACAACCCCACTGCTCACTGTCCCAAGGAATGGAGGAGGAGGTTAAAAAAAAATGAAGAAAAATCCTGAAAACTTTTGCATAACATGTGGCTCTATCATGCTCATTTTTTTTTTTCCAGAGAGTACTGTAAATGAGCCACTTGAGAAGTTTATTTCCACTGAAAAATTTAAGCTTTTCACTGGACAGAGTGGGGGGGGGGGCGGGAAATGAAGTATCTCTGGCCAAAACCAATAAAACACTTTCAGGAAGAATTCCGTGTTTCCATGCATACACGTTATGTTCTTCTGGGACAGAAAATGGAAAGTGTTTCTTTTTCTTTTTCTTTTTTTTTTTTTTTGGGTTTTGCTTTTTTTCTCTGGACTGCTTTTATGTCCCTAGTGATTTGTGGTTTTCTGTTAAA